GAGGCGGTGCTCTCAATCCAGAAAGCAGTGGGCAGGGCTAGGTGTGGCCAAGTGGTAAATTACATGCTACAGGCTTGTGAATCAGCAGTGACAATGTTGATAGCTACACCATGTGCAAGATTTTTAGTTGTGCAGGTACAACCTACATGAAAGTGGCAACTCTGCTCTGAATTTTGGAGCCAGCACAGCATCATTGCAACTCGAACACAGGAATCTGCATTTGGTGGACTTTACTGGCAGGTTTAACAGATATTTGGGGAAAAACTGTAAGGACAAGTGGTAGGCTAATTAATTAGCCCGGATTTGTGGGAGGAGCCCCACACATTTAAACTGCTCCATCTCCCACTCTCACCTGTCGGCTTGTGGGCGTCATCTGAGGCTTCCGTCCGGGTTTCTGGCTTCCAGGCTCTCCTGCTCGCAGCAGCTCGTCTCCCCTCCTTGTCTGCGTTTTTTGCTTTTTCGGCTGCACGCGGCGGTATCTTCGGCCGCCCTCGGCGGCTCGTTTCTGGCGGGAGATTCGATTCTGGTTGGTCTGTGAAGTACTGTCTGTGTTTGTCTTGTGTGTTTTTTTTCTTATCGGCTTCTTGCGCTTTTATGTCTGTGTGTTCTATGTGTCTGAGGGGAAGATGTATTCCACTTCTGGGTCAGGTCATACTGCATGGGTCTGTTTTCAGCATGCTGCAGCTTAATCTATCTCATCTATACTCCTTCGTATTGCACTTTGCTTCTATTCATCTTGGGTAACAGTAAAGGTAGGAATAACCCATGATTGAATGGTTTTAGCAAGTAACATTATGACTTGAGTTTTGCTTTTTAATTATACGCTGTGTTTGTTTTTTTTTGGGGGGGGGGGCCCAAAAAAAAATCTTGCACCAGGGCCCTTTGTTCCTTAGCTCCGCCACTGATGCCACGCATTGTGTTATTGTGCTACAAAAGGTGCCATGCGTTTTGTCCATCCTGCCATGTATGATGCCATGCGTTGTGGCCATCCTGCCATGTATGATGCCATGACTTGTGCTGAAATTTTGCATATTTGATATAAGTTGTGTTTGAAATGTTTAAAGCTACATTTCTTTTCTCAGTGTACAGAGGCCTTGTATGAGGCATAGTGCCCTAGCTCAGGCACCCGAGGCCTCATGTTGTGGCTTCCCCTGGCTCACTCCCAGGTACATCTCTGTACGGATCCAAGGCCTTGTCCGAGGTCCAGTGCCCTCACTCAGGCACCCGATGCCTCATGTTGTGTTTCCCCTGTCTTGCTTCACGGTACCCAGGCCTTGGGCAAGGTGTAGTGCCCTCGCTCAGGCACCCGAGGCCTCATGTTGTGGCTTCCCCTGTCTCACTCCCAAACTCACTATTAGAATTGGGGCAGCCTCAGCCGCATCTAGCAAGGGCATTCCGGTGCCTATTATTAAACAGCGGGGTAGGTGGAATTCGGGGTGCTATACCAGATATGTACCCGACCCTCAGGTGGAGATGGCTAAGGCTTTTGGTAAACTTATCTCGTAATGTTTTGTCAATAGATCCAGTATTTCAACCTATAGTTTATTTTTGCCCCCTTATTTTACATACTGACCATAGTGACCACGGCACACCTCAGGTCATTGTAGGCAGGTCAATCATCTCGATTCCTGGGTACGTATAAGTGGTGCTTTGACCACAAATGTACTTATTATAAGTTCTGCAGCACATTTTTTTTTAATGGAAGGCCATGTGATAATTGCATTCTCAGGCTTGCCATGCACATAGATTACCAGCTTGAGAGACAACAATCTAAGTGCCAGAGTGATGATCATTGGAGGGGGGGGCGCTTTAAATTCTTTTTTAGAGAATCAGCTTAATGATTTTTATATGTTGTTTTAATGAAAGTAAAGAAAAAAACAGTGGAAGGAAATATTTACACAAGATATTACAAAAAAGACAATACTCAACAGCAAAATAAACAAGATTAAATGTGAAAAGGTACTTAACATATTTTGCCCAGTCTTTGGTTCTGGCAGAGTCAAATCCAATGTCCATTCTAATGTATTGAGGTCATCGGCTCTCATAAATAACCCTTAGTAATCTGGCATAAAAAATTGAAAGCTATTAGCTGCCAATTGAACCCTCTAGAGCAGGGGTCGGAAACTTAATTCACTCGGGGGCCACTTGGCACATTTTTTTTCTCCCATGGGGCCGCTTGCCAAATTTCATACATCAAAATAAAATGTAACTATATCTTGTATGGTACTACAGACACTAATAAACACACAATAATGCCCTATTCATATCTGTAAGTTTACATACAAAACTTGTGATTAGGGATTCCTTTGTCAGGAACTTGCATTTTCCTGCAGCAGGAATGCCTAATCTGGCATTTACAAGTGGCAGCTGTCACCCATTCAAGTTAATGATCAGGTGACACAGCTCCATGTAAATGCCTGCACACCACAAGTAATGATATTTGATATGATTACATGAGGTTAGAAAACACTCTCCCTGGATGCACAATCGATGCGTTCAGGGAGAGTGATTCATTCTTAATCAAATGTAATCATATCACATACCATTACATGCGGTGTGCAGGTATTTACATATAGCTGCTGTCACCACCTGATCATTAATTTGAATGTATGACAGCTGCTGCTTGTAAACGCCAGATTAGGGATTCCTGCTGCAGTAAAACACAAGTTCCAGGACACAGGAATCCTTAAGTGCAACTAAACTTACAGGTGTGACTGGAGCTTAATACACTCCCCCCTCATACACATACAAAATACTACCCCTGCACATATAAAATAATACACTTCCAACTCCCCCATACACGTAAAAAAATACACCCCCTCCAAATAAAATAAGACAACCCCCCGCACTCCCACATATAAAATACAGAGCCCCCACTCCTGCTTACCTTTTTGCAGGAAGGAGGTGAAAAGACATGATCCCTGGTGATCCAGTGGTTGATTAGTAAGGTCTGCCGCAGACCTTACTCATCCATCCTTTCGGCCAGAGTTCACTGAAAGATTTCAGAGCACTGGCCGAAAGGATCTGAGTGCCAGCACAGAGAAGCAGCTATGCGGTCTGTATCAGACGGAGATGCAGACCGTGTAGCTGCTGCCGCAAGTCAGGTATGTGGTTCATGACTGCATACCTGACAGCTTGCAGCGGGCCACACAGTGGCGACTTGCGGATCGCAATTGGCCTGCAATCCAGTACTTTAATACCCCTTCTCTAGAGGGTGTCACTGAGCTGATCCTTACCCAATCAAGAGAGCTGAGGGGTGGGAGGTAGAAGTGCTGAAATGTTTGATTATACTTAATCGAACAATCCTTTAATGTCACTTTTCTAATTATATCAATATATACAGATGACACAGTTTTATAATCTAATACCCAAAGTATTATTGAATAAAGTTAAATTACCATTTGATAACACCAAACATGGTAAACATTGGATGTATACATCTTTTAATGTAACCAGTTTGTGTGTTGTACATTAAGGGCTTGTTCACAACATGACCAGAACAGTTTGTTCCCGGACCAAAAAAAGCATCCCAATGTATCACTGTGGTATTTCTAGGCTCTGTTCACACCAGCACAATCCATTCAACAAAATAGCTGCATGTCTCATTTTCTCGGGTCTGGAATGCACTGGAACACATGGAAACGCATCAAAAATGCACTTGAACGCACTGGACTTCACATGAAAATTAAACCTGCACATGTTTGTTAGCAAAATAATGGTGATTTACTTATACATTTGGGTAATCGCTTATTAAGAATGTCATTTTTTTTAAACCGGGATTATGGATTATGTGTAGAGTTTTAGAACTAGGTTGCATGAAAGGGACAGTTTCAGGTCAAGCAGAGCCAGAAGTCTGCTTAAGTATTTACAACATGCATTAAGATAGATTGATCGCTCTGCTAGAGATGACATGGCAATTTTACAATAGAGAATTACCCATTGAGAGATTTGCAGATCATGGACAAAGCTTTATGATCTGCTGGAGCTTGTGGTGTTCTAGTGTGGGGTGTTCATTGGTTTTTATTATTGTTACAGGCCATTGTTCTACTTTAACATACTACCATGAAGGTCCTTGTTCAGACATTTTCTGTTATGTGGCAGCAAAGAGACTGATTGAAATCAGGAGCAATGAAACGCAGGAAAGGATGACAGATAGGTATGAACTACGTTTTCTAAAAGAAAAAACATTCCAATGATTTATGATACAAAATGCTTCAGCAAACTAAATGTCATCTAGTTAGGGTTTACATCTATTTTAAACATAAATGTTCTGCAGTTGTGCATTACTTCTAGATATGGTGAGGAACATGCAAGAAACTGTAAATAGCCACAAAATTACCACATACAGTCATCATGTATTAAGAATTGTCATCCCACTTCATCTGAGCTCCATGCACAGCCTGATTATATCAGTGTAGTTTTATTTCCTAGAAATTATTTAAAGAAAACTAAATAGTAAAGATAATTTATTCTCACAAGTGCATTTTCAAATATTTGTATTTCTATTCACAGGTAGCAATACATTACTATTTTAGTGACCTGAACAAGAGTTTTAGTCAAACAAGGAACAGGTAAAACTAGAACAGAAAATAAGTGACATTATGCCAAGTGTGGCAAGAAAAAAAAAAATAATGATTTAGTACAACTCCTTATATTCCTTAATTATATTCTACATTACATAAATATCTGCACATTTGTTAGCAACTCTGTCATCAGATAAAAACAAAAAAGTAAGGCTAGTCAACTATATACTGTATTTAGATTCTTCTCCTTCAAAAACCACTCAATTCCCTCATCCATGCTAAACAATACCCGATTAGTGACTGTCATTCAGCCGACAATTTTTCAGCCAGCTCAGTAAAATGTTTTATTAAATGCCCTTAAATGCAGGATAACCACAGATGCTAGATAGTAACATACTGATAATATATATAATAGATCCCCCAATGAGGCGTGAAAGGAATACCTGTCACAGAAAACAATACAGTGAAGTGCAATAACTACTGGATTGCAATCATCCATATTGGAACGCAAAGTTCTGGAAAACCTCTTTGTCTCTCTACTGCAAGGATGGACATCCCTGCTCTCTCAATGATGTTTCTCAATACGTTTATGTCTCTAATCACACTGCTGTCATCAGGATCCAGCCGACAACCTTGCCTGGCTACATTATCTTTTATTATTATGACACCATTTTCTTTCAAAGCATTTTTGCAGCGTAGGAGGGTTATCAAAAGATCTCTGTCAGTCAGGTGACCTAAAAATATATATAAAAAAAAAGTATAGTCAGTATCAGTTATAGGAGTAAGGATCCATACTCAAATGTGAATAACTATCATATAGTTATTTGTGCTAAATATCTTGATATAATGATATGACTTTATACTACTGAACTGATTTAAATTTGTGTACAGAAAGCGATTGCGGTTGATTTACTAAGGGCCCATTCACACTGTTGCAGAGTGTTAACATGCATTTTTTTTGTGTGTTGCATTAGGGCAGCCTATTAATTTTCAATAGACTGTTAACACACCTCGACACAGGATAAAATGCACCTGCATTATTTTTGGTAATGCACCACAATGTTGTGTATTCACATCTGTGTGTTGTGGTGCACTATAAGACAGGTGCATGTACAGTATCTTAACTGTATAAGTGAGTTTATGTACAATCCAATCTGAATGGCAGCGCACCACAACACACACATTCCCATATATTAACATGTGTTGCAGTAACCTGCAGTTCTGGTACTGACTGGCCAAAATCTGGAACGTTACCATTTATGGAGATGAAGGGAACAGTTATCACTGGGAATGGAAGATACAGAATAAAAGTTTTAGCCATAGTTAGGCTTTAATGAATGCAAATATCTTTTATGTGACAGGAATTACGTTCAGATAAGGTCATATCTGCAGGAATAGGATTGTCTCTTAATTGATAGTGTTATAGATTTAAAAGCTACATGACAAGTTCTTTTTCCAACGTTTCCTATTTTCAGACATTGCATAAATAAAACCAGTAAGATGATAAAGAGTTCAAATGTAATGTATTGACATATAGGTATTTCACAAGACAAGTGTGCTAAGATTGCATGATCAAAGATAGAACATACATTTAAATAATGCTTTATTTCAATATTTGGGCATTTTGTTTTGGTGCTACAAAATTAGTTACATACTGACTTATGTTATTTACAATGACCTATGTTATTTAAATGACAGTAATGTAAAGTAGCACTGAAAAGAACAGTTGCAAAATGCCAACTCCAGGCTGCAGAGCTCAGCTTTATTGTAATTTCATCTTTGCTCCAGCTGCAGCAAGTCATCTCAAGGAACTTATCTAAAAAAAATGTGATCAGCTCAGCCAGAGCCTTGCCAAACCAAACATATTGAAAGTCCATTGTTTATAAATAGTCAGCATCTGTTCAGAACAATCTCTCAGAATTACTTGGTTATGAGTGGTGTGTAGTGTGGGACGTTCCACTAACAGTTCACGATCACGAACAGTTCTGGGGTAGCCTGCAAAATTCCATCTCAAGAACCTGACACAGTCTGAAATGTTGTCCAGTGTTTCAGTCTCCTACAATCTTTGGAGCCTTCCTTGGCTCCATTGGGTGTTGCCCCTTCCTCAGTTTTAACCCAGCAGGATTTCACCACAGTTATGCAGAATTTCATGTGCCAAGTTGCAATTTTGATTGCCGACTCTGACTGCAGAAGCCATAAGCGTACATCAATGCATTTTCTTGCAGAATACCTGCCTGACCTGTCTGCAGCTTTAGCAGCCTATACCCCTCTGCGGCAGAGGCTCTTTCTGAAGAGTCCCAAAAACCCTTGCCACATGATATTGTCTCTGAGGCTTAGAGAGACTATTTCAGCTCTTCTTGATGTGGTGACTGCCAATGAAAAGACAGATGAGCAACCTGTAGCTTCTGCCAGTGCTGCTGCCAGCCTAGGATATCTGAGAGGCCCTCAGGCTACCTTTCCCATTGCACTCGCTATTGCTTATAAACTGTTCACTCTTCCTAAACATTTGTGCAATACCCAGAAGTCCTTTATTAAGAAGTGGGTGGTTCCCACTATTGATCCAGGAAGGCCTGTCTTATTAAAGCACTGTTGATTCCAGTAGAGGATGCGCTAGTATTTAGGGATCCCATAGAAAAACAGTTTTGAGACACTTTACAAAACCTTGCTCTCTCCTGCTAGACTAAATTCATGAGAAGGATCCAGCTTTCCTCCACACTGATCCTCTTTGTGGAGCACTTAGAGATCATGCCGGTAGTCCTGCACTACTCTGTGAACAGGTTAGTGGATGTCTCTCGTCTTATTTTCCGTGCGAGTCTCCTATGAGAGAACATGCCGAGAGCTCATTGAAATGTTGGGCTGTGAAGCACGGGTATGGGAGGTGGTTTGCAGGGGCCACAAACTAGAGTTCCATTCTCAGCCCCCTCTCAAGTTCATGTCTTCCAACCTTGCTGTGTCACTGTGCAGGTTAGCCAACCACCATGCAGCCCTTGCAGGTCTTCTGGAGAAAGGGATTATTACACCAGCTCCAGTGGTGGAAATTAGACAAAATTTTATTCCAACCTTTTTACAGTCCCAAAACCAAAAGGGAGCATCCACCCCATGCTGGATCTCAAGGCCCTAAATGTGTTTATTTGGCCCCAAAACATTCTGCATGGAGATCAGTATTAGAATCACTTTATGGCCTCTGTAGACATCAAGGACACACACTTGCATGTCCCTATTTTCCAGCACATCCAAGATTTCTTCGCTTTGCTGTGGGTCCCCAGCACTTTCAGTTCCTAGCCCTGCCAATTAGACTTTCTTCTGAGCCCTGTTCATTCACCAATGTTCTAGTCCCTGCACTTGCCTTGTTGTGTTCCCCGAGCATCCCCACTGTGGGATATCTGGACGACATCTTCTTGAGGGAACAGTCGTTGCCCAAAGCTCTCCCACCTCCTGCACATTCCTATTGGCCCTTGAGGCTGCCAATCATAGTGTGGGACAGGCATCACAGCAAGGTAACACACTTTCAGTCAGAAAGGTTTTGGGGGCTGCTGCAGATATGTTGAGGCACATCTAGTGCCTGTACTTCATACCTGCAGCAATTGTCCTGACAGGAAACTTGAGGAGGAAAGAGGGACATAGAGCTTTGGATTGGGCTTGATACTTAGTTTGTTGCTTACACTTTACATAAAAAGCTGTAACTGGAAACCTGTAATGAGAAATATCGGGGTTGCCATTGCTGACATCTTGCTGAAAATGGTAGTTGCCTGATTGCTTTTGCTGTATTTCATTCATGTCAATGACTTGTAACCAGAATGCATACTGTAACGTCAGAGTAAAGTCAGAATTCCTAAATTGCATATTTTTCTAGATCAGGAGTAGAGCTTATGAACATGACAATTTGAATTTTTTCTTAAGAAGGGAATTTCCATGTACCTGTGAAATATCATGAACATTCCAGTTTTCAAAGAATACTCAATCTTAAGTGCAAGGAAAATTAAAAATACAGGATTTTTGCTTGAACATGATTGGATGATTGAAGTCAGTAGAGCTTCATCATATTTACTAAACCAACTGAAGTAAACAGTTTAAACTTTTTTAGTAAATCATCCCCGGTGTGTTGCAGTAAGCCAGGCAACTAGCAATTCTAGAAGCAGAGGCCATATTTCCTCAGTACATGTTTTATGATGTTGCTGATTGTGAATTATCTATTTAGTACTCCAATATCAATAACCAACCTGAAACCCACTGCATCCAGATCACATCATACTTTTTTGGGGTAGGAATGAAGTCTTGCAGACAGTAGCAATAAAGAGTTTCCACCTTGTCTGCTTCTTCTTCCAGATAGTTCTGGGCTTCTTCTAAGAAAGGCTCTGTCATGTCCACCAGCTCAATATTATTGAAAACTGGTAAAAGAACATGTTTACTCACTCTACCAATGCCCGAACCACAATCAAGAGCACAGTCTTTACCAGCTTTTCCGGGTCCCTGCAAAATTAAAGGAGAAATCATGGCATTATGAATAGGGTTTCAAGGTTCTTAGCTGTGACATAGTCTGTGGGACCACTTTATATATGATGATTAAGGATAGCATGAAAATATTGTGCTTGACCCACAGGTTTTTTTTAACATTAAATAGTTCACTAAACTTTATGTACTGTAAGTTAGAATTACAGCAACAAACAGAAGGCAAAACAAGTAGTCTCCTACATTCCCATACATGAAAGGGGTAGCAGATGGACGGTCATACTGGTTAGCAATAATGCGATTTTCTAGTTGCAACAATCATGCTACTTCTCACTTAAGCAGCTGACTGAGTGTCTCTTCTACATGACATACAAGGATAAAAAAGAAAGGTTATTGAATGCAAAGGGTCCAATTACAATTACTGTATTAAGGTACTGAATGTTATGCGAATTGGTGCGCTGGGGAACCATTCATTTTGAACGACACAGCAACGCACAGCTGTGTTGCAGCACACCAGTATGCACATTAGCACACTACCATGCATTGTGCTATGCTGCTAAAAATGGTATCGGTACAACTTTTTTTGTTCAGACTGGTGCGCAGTGCATGTTAATGTGATGCCTGGAACATTTGTGTATTGTGGTTGGCACATCTTCCACCTAGTAAATGGAAGCAAATCTGCTATTAAAGGAGAAATAATGGGATGAGTGAAAAACACTCATCCCCATAAGTCAAGCTGACTTGTGACAAAGTTGTCACGGGTCGTCTCTATTGATCAGAAAGTCAGCAAACACATATCGCTAATCGTTGACTTCCCGATCCTCTCCCTGCAGAAAGCGGTGACTGTCAGTCACCGCTCCCCGCAGGGATTCCACCCTCCCCTCTCCGTTTCTCCAGCATTGACTGGAGGAATGGACAGGGAAGGGGGTGTGCTGTCTACGGGTGTCTACTGTGCACACCCAGGGAGATAAGCCTCAGGCAGGCTGAGGGCTATGTCATCCTCACCTAGGTGAGGAAGGAGTAAGTGTGAGCAAGCACCTGCAGAAAAAGGTACTTGCTCCCCCTCCACCCTCAAAAATGACATGTTCAGTTTTTTGTGTGTGTGTGGGGGGGAGGGTTTGATTAGAAGGATGGTAAGTTGCGTGAAGTAAATTGTGTGAAGGTCCACTTTAAGGTGAACATGTTCAGATATATTGATTGATATCTGTTCATATATGCTTTTTTAAGATAGTACCGGTGAATGCACTTAATTTGTAAAGTACCAAGTCAGCATTCCCCACCTTCCCTCATTGAACTGAATATATATTCTTTGGAGCGGAGAGTAGTAATGTTTTTTTTTTTTTAAATACAGTAACCATGGCAAACATTAATTAATACAAAAAAGTCACAAATGTTACACTTAAGCCTATCGCCCACATTTTCACCGCAACAAAGCAGACAAGCACCAAAATAAGGTAAACCAGAAACTTGAATTTCACGAGTTACATGGATGATAATTAATAAAAAAAAATCAGGCTAGTTACATAACATATGGAGTCCATGGGTTTCTTACTACTTAACAATGGATTGTGAGCATCCTATAATACCCTACTCTACTAAAGATGGCCCATAACAACCCCTCTGTCCTCCTCCCGGCCATCTATACCCATACTCCCTCTTATTAGTTGATGTTACTCCTCTTGGCAACCAATATCACCCTACAAATACGTTGTGCAAATGGTAATTCATTTTAACTAATTAGCTTATTTTATTACTACTTGTCCTAGAAATAATAAGCAAAGGTTGAACCAATGCAACTGATCAATACATTCAGAAAGTGAAATGTTAACTATATTTTGTCATTGTTAGGGGTGTAGAAATCTTTAAAAAAAATACTTGTCCAAGGACTAAAGCAGGGGCCAAATCTACTTCAAATTGTACTTCTTCCTTCATGACAATCTACTTGTTGTGATACAAAAATAATTGTAACCAAAACCATATTTAACCATGCTAAGAAGCAAAACCAACATGTGCTCGCAATTTGTGAGCGAAATTCAAAATCCATAGCACAGGGCTGCACTAGACGGCAATTTGGTATACAGATAGCACACCTGTACCAGCGAATGGGAAAGACCACCGAAAGACAAGTGTCGGTGGGGGGGGAGAGAGAGAGAGAGGGGGATAGATTTGAGCAGATAATTTCATTTTCCCAAGTGAACTTACCCCTTAATGTACATTGTGCCTGTTAGGGAGCACTGCTGCCTGGCTACCACAATGTGGCACACAGTTTCTAGTGCTATGGAACGCACCGCATTCGGTGTGAACAAGCCCTAAATATAGAATGATGAATCAGAGCCGTAAGTATCCATCTATATAGAAGTAAATGGGGGAACTTCATGAGCATTGATGAAAATCAGTGTAAAAAGGAATTATAGAATCTATATCCAGATCCTCATTCAAACCTGAGGGGGTGATAGTATTCAATCTATAAATTGAAGTATCTTGGGACCCCACCCAGATCTATGAAACCGAAGGACGATTACATGCAGACTGCTGCTTATAGATGCGTCCGCTGTCACACGATCATTAACTTGAACGGGTACAGCGGCCACATCTAAATGGGCCAGTTGGCATTCCTGTGTAAATATAGCCTTAACTCATGGTACAATCAGTTGCAGAGTTTTAAAGTTCTCCGAAGGATGTGTTTGCAGTACGAATCAATGAGAACATAACCGTTTATAGCTGTTTGCAGGTATATGATATGTATACTGGAATTTGGAATTTGTTGGCACATGTAGCTGACAGGGAGTCCCTGCAGTAGCAACCAAGATCAGAAATAAGAAGTAAAAATATCCTGACCTTCTCCTCTGAGCAAACCATGCTGGTAAAGCATTCCTTTAACCTAGATTATTATACATTAGCAAAACTGCATCCGTTCCAGAAAAGGCAAGGCTGAGAATAATACAAACAGAAGGAGATAAGTGCATAGGGACTGACATGGGGCAGTATGTGCATGAGAGGAGTGCAGAAGGGATGACATGGGGCAGTGTGTACAATAGAGGAGTGCAGAGGGTATTACATGGAGCAGTACGTGAGAAGATTGGAAAAGGCATGATATAGGACAGTATGTGCAGGAATGGAGTGCAGAGGGTCTGATATGGCAAAGTATATGCAGGAATGGAGTGCTGGGGGTCTGACATGCCGCAGTATGTGGAGGAGTGGAGTGCAGAGGGTATGACAGTGGTAGTATGTGCAAGAGAGAAGTGTGAACGTTATGAGAGTGGCAGTATGTGCAATTTATAAGACGTGTCAGAGGGCATGACAAGAGGCCATTTATGCAGGAAAGAGGTGTGAAAGGTATCAAATAGGGCAGAATATACAAAGGAGTGCAAAGGGTCCACTTTAATGCTCTCAGATCCCCTGGATGTGTGCCGGCGTCTCTGATCCGCACGAATGCGGAAATGGGACTTTAGATCAGGTGTCCTGTTGTCAGGGAGATATGACTCACCGCACAAACGCGGTAGTAGGCGATTGTTTAGCGACTAAACGTCATGCGTCCCGTCACCAAAGAGATGTGTAATTCTATATGGACAGTACCGGACTTGTCGGCAGGAGTGCAATTAGATGTAAATCAAAGTATAGGGGATCTGGATTAACTGGCCAGATTATGATGGTCCTTCTAACATATGTCTTCTCTTATCATGGTAAAAATAAGATAAGAGAAGTAAGACACATGTTATAAAGGCCATCATATTCCAATCTATTCTGGCCAGTTAATCCATATCCCATTTTATCCCCTTTACTTTGATTTACATCTAATTGCACTCCTGCCGACAAGTCCGGTACAGTCCATAGAGAATTACACATCTCCATGGTGACTGGACGCACAAAGTTTAGTCCCTAAACAATCACCTACTACAGCCAATCATCCTCACCATTAGAGGCTCTGTCGAAGACCTGGCCCTTCTTAGATTCTGCGCCTCTAGTGCGTTCCCAATAACGCACAGACTCATAGTTCCTAGTCCCCAATAACACACAGACTATTAGTAACTAGTCTCCTTGTATCCAACATCCCTGATACCACTCCTGTCCGTGCCTTCTATCCACTCCATAGTCCTGAAGACTATTTCCCCTAGCACCCCAGCCCGCAAACCGTGACACTGTATATGTCATTTGATTTTGCCCATAGTTCCTATGTGTTCTCTGTACATTGCTGGCATATGTTTTTTTTTTTACATTTCTGCAAAGCTGGAAATGGGCTTCAAGGTACCAGCTAGATTTCTGATTTTTAGATCTAGATTTTAAAGGAAATAAAAGCTAGAACAGATTGATTGATTGCTATTTTCATACATTAAATGTCTTCCATTATACTATAGTTTTGTAGCTTGTTTCATATGGCATCTAATAAGCATTGTAACATGGTGCCAGTAAAACCTGCCAGGTTGGCAGGAAAAGTGATAGATGGTAGATACATTTCTCCACAGATCCTTAGATTCATCATCTAAGGTAATGCCAGCATAGAATTGGAGGTAAAGAAAAATAGCTCTTTATCTTGTATTGGTAAAACAAATCTTGGGGCTGGTGTTACTAGGAGTCTGATAGAGCTCTGGGTGGGACAGACTCCTAGTTCCATGGACCGTAGTTTAGTGAAGACTGCACAGGACTTCATTAGTGTGCAGCTGCACCTAGCTGGGGAAAAGTGTGTGTCTCAGTGCAAGGAGAGACAGTGTGCTGAATGCAGCAAGTTATGTGTTTGGAGCCAAGCCTGTCAGCAGGACAGGGTTCTGTAGATGGACTGTAACTGTTCCCATAGAGGAAACAGACCCAGCTCAGAGGACTATCGCTAATACCCAGTAAGGCTCAGTGGAGCGGACTTTTATTTGTTTATGACAATTTACATTTTTGGGCTGGATGCCTGTAACCTTTTTTTTGTCAACTGATTGCTGTCTGGAATTAAAGCTGGCATTTTTGTTGAAGAGACTGCGAGTTTGCCTCTACATTGAGACTGGTTCCCTACAGCATGTAATTTGTTCTATAGCATTTATTTATAAAATGTGGCTATTTATTATACTTATTTGATTGACTTAATAAGGTAATTTGTAAAATGCTATAATCATTTTATGTACATTAACAAGTAAATAGAAAAGAAAGCTTTTACTCAAATAGCACATGAATAAGGGTTGTATTTATAAAAAGATTTGCAGATTTATTCATCCTGTAAAACTGCATATACATTTGTCCTGTGCGAATGGGGGCGAAAACAAAATGTAATTAGTATATTTTCTTTCCAGATTGAATGTGATATGTGGAAAATACCGCATCATGGCAACTAGATGGAGCTGAGAAACATAATAAATCTGTTTTTTTTTCTTATGATCCTCAGCTCCATACAGTGGACATAATGTGGTATTTTCCTCAGATCACATTCAACCTGGAAAGAAAATATATTACATTTTGTTTTTGCCCAAAGTTACACCAGATGAATGTACATGCAGTTTTGCAGGAGGAATGTCTCTGCAATTTTGTTTTAACTGCACCCCTCAGTGTGCTGTTAATTTGGTTAAAAATATATTTAGCTACTAACCCCAACAAATTTCCTCAGAAATTCTCTGGATGATTCTATTTCGATTTTGGAGAGGTCAGCAAAATCCCCCATCATTCCTTCTTCTGTTGCAGGGACATCCTTGTAGAAGTTTTGTGCTCTAACATAAAACTGAATCTCCCCATCAATCACTTCGCTTGTCATAGCAAATAGTTTCACTGTGAAAAGAGGACAATGGCCTTAGGATAAAACACCATCAACACCTTGATGCTGAAAACAATCACAAAAGCATCACTGAATGACTTATTTGGTTTTGTATACTTACTTTCTGCAATAGATGTGGTCACCTCCACTTAAAACAAACCTAAAATCATATAAACTATTATTGCCAAAAGTATTGGGACACCCCTCCAAATCATTGCATTCAGGTGTTCCATGAAATTTCCTTGCTAATAAATATTTCACAGTCAACTGTTAGTGGTATTATAACAAAGTGGAAGCAACTTCGCCACGAAGTGGTAGGCCACATAAAATGACAGAGCGGGGTCAGCGCATGCTGAAGTGCACAGTGCACAGAAGTCCCCAACTGTCTGCAGAGTCAATAGCTACTGACCTCCAAACTTCGTGTGGCGTTCAGATTGGCGCAAAACAGTGCCTAGAGAACTTCATGGAATGCATTTCCATGGCCGAGCAGCTGCATCCAAGCCTTACATCACCAAGTGCAATGCAAAGCATCGGACGCAGTGGTGTAAAGCACGCCACCACTGGACTCTAGAGAAGTGGAGATGTGTTCTCTGGAGTGACGAATCACGTTTCTCTGTCTGGCAATCCAATGTACGTGTCTGGGTTTGGCTGATTTAGAATAATTCTCCAATTCAGCTCACTTTCCAGTTCAGCTATGTTGCCCCAGATTGGTCCATTCTTAAACTCATCACCCTTTTGTGAATAACCCTGATAATGTAGTTGAGAAGAACTCAGCAATGTGATCTACTAATTTTCCTGTCATCTGGATAGTCTAACACTCAACTAAGTAATTTACTATTTGTCCTGTCAGCTACAAAAGAAATACTCAATTAAGTGATCTGCACATAGTCCGGTCAGCTCAAAAGTCTAAAGCAGGGGTAGCCAAACTCTGGCCCTCCAGCTGTGGTGAAACTACAAATCCTACCATGAATCTGCCTGTGACTGTCAGAGTATTGCAATAACTCATGTGACTTGAAGTTCCACAACAGCTGGAGGAACAGAGTTTGGTTATGCCTGGTCAATTTTGTTTTAAACAAGATTTACAGAACTTTTACCAACAATTCACACATGTTCTAATTTAATCCAAATGTAAAAATGTGTCAATCCTGGGTGAAGTTATGTGAAAACATTTATAAATAGACCCCTAACTAAGTGATCTGCTAATTGTCCTGTCAGCTCAAACGTCTAACATTTAACTAAGTGATCTGCTGTGCCTAAGATTGCTGCATGTGGATTTGACCTGTTCTGTGCCTTAGATTGCTGCCCTGTGACCCCATTGACTTAACTTTAGCTGTGCCCCAAAATTGCTGTCCTGTGACCCATTGGACTTAACCCTTGCTGTGCCGAAGATTGCTACCCTGGGAACCTAGACTCTATCCTTGCTGTACCTTATTGCTGTTTACCGATTTGCTGTACCTGTATTGCTGCTCTGTGAATCTGGACTCTATCCCTACTGTACCTTATCGTTGTGTATCTCTTAATAAAGAACCCCTCGGCCAAGGGTTCCAAAAAAACACACTCTTGATCTCTGTGTCTGTTCTGTTCCACCCACCCCTATCCTATGTCTGTCTGTCTCTGACTTAAATCCTTGTTGCCACTTCCCTATGGTGCTTTACTATACTTTTACGTTGTAATATCAAGCTCCATATATTTTGCTCTTTATTGCTTCTCATATTTGTTTTGCTTTATTTTCTGCTTATCAACATTGCTTTTTTTTCCCTCCCATACTACTAATTATTTTTTTATTTTAATATTTTTTTTTAGGAAGTCAGTGTTTAGACTGTTAAACTTATGTCAGAGCATTCTGATGGCATATCTTCCTAAAAGTATTGTATTCTTGATACTGTAGAGATGATACATATTGTGTCCATGGATAATGCATGTAATGAGCGTATTCTATAGATGAATGTATTTCTTTTTTCATTTCACATGCCTTTTATCATAAAGTATTAGCTAGTTGGCTGTTTTGAGTGAATTCCTTAATATTGTAAAAGGCAGGTAAGTCTCTTAATAGCTAACACTCTATGTTTGGTGTGAAATGTCAGACCATACATCTATTTATACATGACATAAAAAGCTATTGTATAAAATTAAATACATTAATCATTTAATAAAATGTATTCATAATATCCTAATAGTACTATGTATTTTAATTTAGTTTTTTTACCATTAATACTTTTTTTTAGTATGTTATTTTTTTTCCAGTGTTGCATAAAAAACGTGGAGTCAGATGTTAGATAAAAGTAGACGATGCTTTTGTTCGAAGCAAAGTATTTCTTAGAAATTACTGCAAGGACAAACTTTTTTTAAAACAACTGTGCTTGCCTGGAATGTAATTAGGCTCCACTATTAGTAAATGTAATAACGCAGCCCTTGCTGTTACTTTTGTATTAGAGTTTCCTGTTTGAGGTGCCATGAATATCTGCAACAGGAGCCAACTGTTGAACTCAGTTTTGCCCAATTTCTAATCTTGAAGGAGTGAATACAGTTAATATACCAAGTTACTAAGCTTATGGTATAGGTAATAAACCACAATGTACATTAGTTCCAGTAATAAATATCCAAATAAGTTAATGTTGCTGCCTGATTGTCCCTACTCGTGGGCAGTGTGTTTACCCATCAGGGAAGCATATAACAAGGCAACCTCAAGTGACTGTCAACTCGATTTAGGAGAATATAGTTCTAAGGTATAAGTCTGTAAATTTGAAATCAATATGAATGAATTTACATTTACTAGTAGTACATAATTAATCAACTTCCTTGATTTGAAGATTTTGATACAGGATAATTAAATTCATACAAAGACTTACCAGAAAACAGTGGATATGAATAGTTTTATATTGCCGGGCAATTACCATTTAAAGAGATGGTTATACAATGTCCTTAAAATTCAATATATTAGATTAATATGCAATTGCAGTTAAGAGAAGCCAAACGTGTAACAGAGCACTTAATAAAAAGCCGATACCTTGAAAAACGTTCTATCCAGAATGAAGAGGAAGTAAAAATTTTAAAAAGAAATAACCTTCTCATAAAATAATACAACTCAACATATGATGGGCAAAATAGATTTGTGTACCTTTTTTCTTAAATGCAACTCGCATGTTTACAAAGTCCAGAATATTATTAAAAGACACTAGACCATATTAAAAAAAGATAAAGTGTTGGGATCCAACCCCCCCCCCCCCCCCCCCCCGCAAAACAAAAGAGTTTT